CGGAATCAAAATGCATGTATACCCACGTTTCAAAATTGCACTATAAAATAATTAACCATTCATTTGTTTTGGATTTCTTTCCGGTTTTTAAACTCATTTTGCAGGTCGCCTTTATTAAGTAGATTTATTATATTTGAGATTGTTAGCCAGTAGCCTAACCTCAAGAATGTCTCCAATATTTACGACCAAAGCATCTGGAAGAAAATTCACAGGGATCCATACCCCATCTTTCTTGACTTGCAAACCGTCGACATCGTTGACTTGGAGAAGAATGGTAATTCCAGTAGCATCAGAGTGAGGGGTAAGACCGATGACCAGATCTGGTTGGGGACATGGAGGATAGTAAGTCATCCTCACTGATTGGATTCCATCTTCAAATATATCTACCATCTCTTGCTTGTCAATATCTACTGCTTGCCCAATTAAACCCAACAAATTAATGGCAAGTTTTTGCAGTTCTTGCAAGTAGTTCTCCATGGTATCTCTGTTGAAAAAAATGGACGAAATATAGAGAGTTGTATAACTTATTAAGATTGTATCAAATTATTTATCAAGCTAAATATTTATTTTTTGTGACGAGAGATCACAGTATTGCTTTTGGCCGACTTTATGATTCCAGTTGCACTTCAGTTAGTATATATATTGATTGTTTTATGACAATATGATACATATGTTTATTGAGATATATACTGGTCACTAAAAGTATGTATTTTGCAGATGGGGAGATGATGGATCAAATCTCTGTACAAGCTTCTCGATCGAGTACTCTCTCAATGCAAATCAATAAAAAAAGTTATCTTAATGTGCCCTCTTATGTGCAGCGATATCTAAAAGCTTATGCATAGACATATCATCGAGAGATACAAATAAACAGTTTCAAAAAGCTGAGAGAGACCGAGACCTTAGTGATGGAGGGAACTCTGGAAGTAAATGGGATTTCCTTCTGTTAATAGGATTGGTGATCATATAAAAGCGATCAGCCCAGTCAATTTTCTGATCTTGAGTATGGAGTATGGTTTGACCATACCCCTCATAGTCACCTCCCTCCAACTTGTACCTCAGCTTCTCTTCCACAGGCATGTTGAAAAATTGTATGGTTTCCTTCTTCATTTTCTCCACCAACAATTTGTCTACTCCATGATTCACCAACTACATATTAATTCAATTCAAGGTCATCTACAATAGATATTGAACATAAGTTTGAGCTTTATAAAGATATATACTTTACCTGAAAGATTCCCCATTTTTGGCACACGGAGCGCAGACTTTTCAGGTTATCGTCATTCTTTCCTGACATATTGATAAAATCTTTCAAATCAATGACTGGGATAGAGGTCAAAGGTGAAGAGCCATTAAAGATAACGGTGGGCTCTCGATGCTCCTGAACGTAGCGATCAGGGACAGCTACTTTGAATTCTTTTGCAAGCTCTTGAAGACTCACATGGATGGGTAGCAATGGTTGTGAGGAAGCCATTCAAAAATCAGTTGTTAACAGTTGAAGTGTTTGTTATGCTACAAAGTGAGAAGTCTCTTGGCTAGACAAATAACAATAGTTCCCTGTGTGTTGGTTTAAATAGAAAAGATTTGCTTGCCAGAACGTGATATATCAAAATGCCACATAGGTGACAGTAGTTGCATGGACTTGCTCAATGCATCCATAGTTCTTGCATGGGACTTGCTCAATACATCAATAGTTCTTAGAACATCCGCAAACTCCATAAAGTTCAATGGATTGCTACGTACATCATCATTCACTATTCTATAAAACTCTACCAATTTTTTGTGACTCTCCATTAAGGTCTACCAAGTTCAATGAAAACATATTTTAAACAATTATTTAAGAATTAGAGAACTTTCTTTTTCCGGTTGAATATTTCAATAAACATTGAACTCCAAATTCGTTGAATGTCAACATCTTACAATGATAACGTTTCATCTATTGAATGAAAACTTGGTACACATGTCACCTCATTGAAACTTCCACTGAACCATAGCTCTAAGTTTATGTAAATTTACAGGTTTTTTCGTTAAAACACTTTCAGATTATTTAATAACTCATCGCCTGATTTTCATGTTTCTCACAATTATCATTCATTATATCCCTTTTCTGTCCAAGAAATATTCTATTTAATTATTATTGAAAAGTCGGGCAATAAATCTGCGGTCAAAGATTTTTACTAATTAAATTATATATAGAATCAGGCGTGCATTGCAGTATTTACAAAGGAGAATATAAGTTTTCATTGATAAACAACATATGTAAATAAGGGACCCATATATATATAAAAAATGATATGTTCCTGATACGAAGGCAGATCTTTAAATATTCCTTGGTATCCTTTTGTTTTTTATTATCTAGTAGGATATAGGGCTTTTCCGGCATTTGCAGGTCTAGGTATCACAATCCTTGGTTCTAGAAGATATCTACATGACAATTTCAACAAGTGTATTCTGAAGTTGTAGTTTCTATGAGTGATATTATGGTGGAGGGATCAGGAAACTCCATCAACTCCCAAATCACACATCAGAACACACGTCATATATACTCTAATTCTGGCAGCCCTTTTTTAATAGATCAAGTCAACTCATACATAATAAAAATACAAAAAACAGCATTTGTGGGATGTACGAAAACTGTTGGCTGTAACTTTAAAATATTTTAGAGATGATAATATGAATAGAAAACGAAATTTCTTTTTTTCCTTTTCACTTCTTACTTGAAAACAACAAAATGAAGACGATTTATAGACTTCACTTATCACCTACATAATTTATGCTGAAAGTTAACTAGACATAGCGTTGGTTTTGTAATTATGTGATGGTATGGCAGTTAATTCCTGAAGTTAATTGGTAGCTAATTGTGGAAGTTATAGGTTAGTTATTAGGGTAGTTAATGGTTATCTATTTATGGAAAGTTGCAATGGTTGTTGAAGAGTTCCAACGGCTACTATATGTTTGTGTCTATGTATTAATGCAAACTAGTAAATATGCTCGTATTCGCAAGGGATTGATTAGGGATGTCAAAAAGTCTCGTGGGACCCCGACCCATATGGGGGATATTTGTTAAATAAATTAGGGGCAGGGGCAAGTTTAGCCCCTATTTTAATTTCGGGGCGGGGACGGGGGTCGGCAGTCCTATCCCGAACCCCCTATGGGGTCCCCGTTAATAT